ACATTGCAATACTGCCAGTCTTCTGGAAATATTCCACAATGACAGTAAAGAAAATTCTTCGATGACGTTTAAACCACATTTTTAAAATTTGATTTCCTTTTTATTCTAATATCAGGGCTAATTTATGAAATGTTGTTATTTGTAGAACTTATGCCATTTTGACTAAAGCAAGTAAATAATACTAAATAATAAATATGAAATATCCGATTCGTATTGAGTAACCCTGGCGGTGGTCAACGCTCATTCCCCCTCTGAGACCTAATGAGAAGAAACTTGATTATAGGCGGATAAAATTTCTGATTTATTTAGCAAGTCGAAAGAAATGGTTTACACCAACGGAGCATTTGCCCTCAACAGCTCTGCTTGCATTTATTAGCACTCAATAACCTAAATAATATTATGTTTGTTTAAGTTTCTGTGGTTTTTTGCCGGAGGAGTCTGTGTTCCCCGAAGGGTATTAACCTGGGTGTCTTCAAGACCCGAGCTGCTTATTTATAATCGTGTTCCATCGTAACTCGCATCACCGCTTACCATTCATCCATTACGAAATAAAGAAAAAAAAAACGTTTAATTTTGAAAAGACGTGACCAGTACCTATTACCTTTGGTATTAGGAAAGCATCATTTTAATTTTAGTGGATTATATAAAATATTTTAAATTCTAATTAGTCAAAAGATGTTGCATCATATCGTGGAGTCGCGTCGTGGGGCTCGCAGCGCAAGAGTTGCTTCGAAACTGGCGAAACAGGAAAGTGAACTCGAAGTGCCTCGAACATGCGTGCAGTGTTTATGATATGTGTATGTTCGTAGTCCAGTCACTCACACATCTTTACGTGTAGCGGGCCGCAACGCTCAATGTGTGCGACCCACGTGGCGTATGCGTACACGCACCAATTTGTTCTACACCGCAGTATTACAAATTTTACGCTACACTAAATAACTGAATGCATGTTCCAGAAGTAGAAACTAGTTGAAGTTTATTTACGACACATATCGATACGAAATAATATGCGATGTTGTTGTAAGTACTCAGTAAACGTTACTAGGATTGCCAGTGTAGTATATTTGCACTGTATATTAGCACTTAGTAGATACACTTGCAATTGCTCGAGTGCTGCATTACTAATGTAGGTAGGTAACAAGAACGTGCAAGTCACTGTGTCAATCTAAGGGTCTCTGAATGAATGGTAGCATCGCACACCGCGACGCCGCCAATTCTAATTAATTAATCTCAGTTCAAAGGTAAACTTTGACGTCATCGCGTTCCATTTTTATTATTTGTCAAAAACCATGTATTGTGTAATAGGTATTAGGTATATAAATTTGAATATTGTAGGTAGGTACATATTTATTTAGGTCAGTTGTAGAGAACGTAGTTTTTTTTTTTAACTTACAGTAGCAACAATACTAATGGCTGATGTCAGCTTAGTGACACAAACAAAGCTCATAAAATATTTAGAAAAACCCTATAATTAATAGTTTTGTGCAGTTCGTCAAGTTATTTTGTAAGTGGGTAACACAGTAAAAATTAATTCAATAAAGATACTGAACCAAGAAGTTTACAGTTTTAGTTTGGTTTCGTTATCAAAAATATTTATCTTTAATTTAATAAAAAAAATTTTTTATATATTTAAATCTATAGTTATTTTCTTACCTATATACATATCAATTAACTTAATTGTATTTAAGTATGAATATAAAAATGAATTATGTCGATCTTCCAAACATCGTCACTTGTTTTACAAGATTGTTCTCGAAGAATATTTTAAAAATATTTTCTATTGCGTAGAAGGAAATGACCGAACGCGTATTTATAATAGTTCTAAGTGGCTTAATTGTTAGTCACTAACAATAAGCACGGAGGTCAAGTATTAATTGATGGTGAAAATAAGGCGCTGACCTTTGCTACTGATTTAAAAAAAGGAGGTTACATAAAAGTTTGTCGTGTTTTTTTATATGTATGGAGGTAAACCGATTATCGTGCGATGACCGGCCCAGTAAAGAGATGTTACATGAACTCGGGTAGATGGTTTTTGTACTTGTAACCAATGATGTATAAATTTATAGATACGTTGTCCGCGCTCTAAAATGACAACATGAAATGAAGGCAATTGACAACATCGCGCTTAGTTACGCACCAACCTGCCGCGCGACGCTACGTTTGTTTTTAATTTATATCGTGTGTGTAAACCTGTACAAAACATAAGTAAAGCATGCCGTCGTGTGTGTTCAAACGATGTACAAATTATACTCCAAAAGTTAAAGACAAAAATGTGTCATTTCATGCGTAAGTTCACCAAACAACCTATTTTTATTTTATTTTTTTCGACGCCGGCGCCCGCCATCTTATGAAAATGTAGTTTTACTATTACTTATCCTGTGATGTAACTGAAAATGTATATTTATCTCCCATATTTTCTTTCCCTTTCTTTACTAGTAGAAGTAGTTATCTAGTATTTTCGCCGTTTTTAAGCGCCGCGATGTTGGTTCATGACGTGTCTATATATAATACGTCATTGCTTGTAACTAAATTTATTTCTTATATTTTTTTGTGTTTCGCCATGTGTGTGAGGTTACCAAATCACTTATCTTCAAAAGGTCAGCAATGCACTTGTAACTCCTTCGTTGTAGCGGGTGTCCACGTGCATCAGGTTATACGTATGTCGTTTGCCAACCTATCATACAAAAAAAGTTTGTTTTAATTAAGGAGGAAAATCGTCCAATGAGATCTTTCTAATTAGTAAGTATGACACGAATTATGACTAAGGACAGCTCAAACTTGAAATAATAAAAACTTTTAATTTTATAAAGACTTAAAAAATGAGAGACATCAAGTGCTTAAGTCATACACAGCGTTCAACGTCATAACCATCAGCCAGTTTCTGATCCTGATCTGTCCAGTCTAATCCTGAACTGTTCGTCCTACAGACCAGATGTTGTTATGTTTGGCCTGGATCCTCTCTTTCTTCTCCTTCCTTCTCGCTTGAATGTTAAACGGCCTGACACCATCCTGGTGACTTAACTGGAGGGAGGAACTACACTAAGTTACGTTTGTCAAGATGGTTTCCTCAATAAGGTGATGGTAACCAAAACGCCTACGTGTTAAAACTTCTATTTATTGCGTTGAATTGCACACCAGATTCGCAATAAAAAATATTTTATTAAAGGGAGAAACTGGCTTTAAATGTTTCGCTAAGGAAAAAAATAATAAAATACCTTTACAACATCTAACATAGTCTATCACTATCGAACGCAGTGATTATTCACTATATCACTGTTTTTGATTTTCTGTATGGTTCAAAGTCCAAATTGATTTTAGACTATTCGATAGATAAGTCCAAAGTCGACATTGATATTGGACTTTGGAAACGTTTATTATTATTATTTTATTTGTATGCCGGTGCACCGTTGACTGTCTCATAGATCTGTTCGTAAGCAATGATGTGGCGTGCGATAGATTACCGAGCCCATAAACAAGCTATTTCTTAAAAACACCAAAGTAAGAATATATTCAAGGAAAGTGTAGAAACTTAAATTACTCATTTTAATAAATCCACATACAAACTAACAAATACTTTTAAAATGCTCTTCAGTCCGTCTATCAGTGAAGGTGGGTGCTACTTCGAAATTTTAGATAGTACATTCGAGCCCTCACATGCTTAATGTTGGTAAGTAAGTGTAGAGAATATAGTCAGTTACACTGTAATTTGTTCAGTAAGTCATGGTGAGTAGGGTTGCAGTTGCAAGAGCAATAGGATCCGGCCTGAAGCAGGAGAAGAAACGGGATGGATTTTAGTCAGTAAAAGGCTGATACACCCTCTCTTTTCACTCAGGGTGATAGAAGTTATTTGATCATTTTCTTTCCTCAAAAGAAGGTGATAAAGCTATGGTGGTTGGTGAGGTCATTGTCCCCAGGTGATGCAACGTATCAGGGACGCGTACTAGGTAGATTGGCCGACAGATCGCGGTCGCGTTATCTCAAGGTTTACCTTTATCAGTACACTTGATAGCGATTCTATTCTAGAAGCTAAATTTGTCAATTTGTTTCTAGAATTGTACTTTGTTATGAACAATAATAATGTAGGTAAGAACAATATTGTTACTGCCGGAGTTTCATTTACGAATACGAGGATAGTCAACTTTGATATTTAATACTGTAAATTGATATGTAGTTATTTTTAAAAAGATTTCCTTATTATGATTTTTTCCTGTATGGATTGGTTTAGTTAGAAATACTCACAAATACAAATCCTTTTTTTGAGAGGTGAAAACAATGATATTATAAGTAAATAGCTACTCTCGCGCAGTTTCACCCGCTGCTTAGCTCCATTTGATCGTAGCGAGATTTTTTATAGCCTATAGCACTCAGGAACATTGTAGCTATCTATCAGTGAAGAATTTTGGCAATCCGACCAGCGGTTCCAAAGATTACCCCCCCACATACATACTTACAAACTTACAAATTTTACCTCTTTATAATATTAGTATAGATATAGTGAATGGTTACCTTAACAAAATTCGATTTTCAAAAACGAAACACTGATACACACATGAACAATTCGTATGTTGAGACGTCAAAGTGAGATGGCATGATTCAATAATGGCGAGTGAAAAAGAGGCAAATATGGAAGAGTGTGGCTAGTAAGCCACATTTTAATGTATCACTTGTAACCTATCTACACCTTTTTACTTATAATATTATTAGATGAAAACTCGTCTTTTCCTTTCTTGCTGAGAGATGCATGTGGGAGTGTCAGACTCTAAATGACTGAAAACTACACTATTTCAACTCTTGTCTCCTTTGAAACATAAATTGAGTGAAACGCTTTAAGATTTGTTGCTGGCGGGAATTCAACTCTGCAACATACAGAACAGCCGGATATTCAGATTTTAGATTCCATAACCGCGATTTATCGCTATCAGAACGAATTGTAGTAATAAGTAATGTAATAACATGATAAAAAGCAATGAAACAGGATTCACAATGATAAAACTTTACACTCAAAGGGCGTATTTGACGTGGCTTTGTTTTTTGAAGGGGCAAATCATCAACATTCTCTCTCTCTTTTCTCTCGCCCAGGTTAAGGCGGGAGGGAATGTTAGGCTCTTACTGACTAAAAACCACCTCGTACCATCTCTTGTTTCGTCGAGCAAGGCCAGCTCGCCGCCCGACCAGAACCAGGCCAGAGCGTACGGCGCGTAGCGTTCCGCGCGCGCGTCAAAGAGCCAATAGACCACCACAGACGGGGACATATAGGGCTGATGTTCAGCCGGGGATGCGGGGTAACTCCAATGAGGCACCGCAACCTCGGCCCAGAGCAGGAGAAGGAACAGGGGTTTTTTAGTCAGTAAGAGTCTGACACTCATTATAATTCATTTGATGATTTTCCCCTACCCAAAAAAAAAAACTATCTCTTGGTTCAGGCCAACCTTGTTGCGCTTGCCCCGCAGTTCCGTATTGAACGTGACTGTGAAGGCTTCTAGTTAGTAAGGGTATGCCGATTCCTTTCGGTTCACACGAGGCGGAACAAACCATTTCATGGTTTCATAAAAGTACTTGCTTAACACCACCGTAAGCAACCAGGGTTGTTTCTTTCTCTCATACAGGGGGAGAAGATATTTGATGATTTTCCGACGTCTAATAGAGCCTGTTTTAAAACATCGGTACACTTCATATGAAAAATACAGAAAATTACGCGTCAGTCAGACCTGAAGAAACATTGTTTAACATTATGAAACGGATTCTAAGTATTTTAAAAGTGTCATGGAGATTTTTTTTTTCTTTTTATATCGTAATACCCGCTGATTCAGGTTCAGGTAGTTACCGCACTGTATTTCTGAGAATCTGAGCGAAATAACTTTACAAAATAAAATTGAAAGGTATAATGTTATAAGTTGGAAACATTGAAATTATTTTATTTTTATTGACGTGAACGATATCAAAAACGTTATGTTGTCGTGATTCATTAAATGTGTTTATCACTGAGATAAGATATGTAGTTGATACCTACCGACTGTGTGTAGTACACAAACATTTTTACAGATGATAATAATATAACAATTTTATTTTTAATCATTATACAATAATTTAATATAATGCTGTTTATATAATACATTACATTAACTTGAGACGGAGTTTATTTAGTTGATGTTAGGTTTTTATGTGTAGGACGGCTAACGAGCCGTTTCATCACCTGATGGTAAGCAATCGGTCCCGCCCATGGACGGGTGTCCATCACCAACGGAACCGGAGGCGTTACAGAATGCGTTGTCGGCCATTTTCGATTAGGGTTTTGGATATGTGGGTATTGGTGGTTGGGGAAGGGAAGTATTGGGCCTCCGGGTACTAAACGAAAACACAACGTGATTTTGAATGATGACATGTAGTTTCTTTAGAAAAGCAATAAAAAAAATATTTTTGAGAAGAAACACTGAATAAATTCGAGATCATAATCTCTTTTGTGTCATAGCTTTATGTAAGTGTCTTAGAGGGTAAAGTTTTCCCTTGTAACATTGTCTAGACCTTGAACTTCTTTTTAATTATTTTGGTGTCAACACAGATTCTTTATAAGAATTTGCTAAATGTTCATGATAATATGATGATTGCCTTAGAAATTTCACAATCCGCCTGAGAATGGTATCACATCAATTAAGAACTAAAATTATTTGTGAGAATACCGTTTAAAAGAAATTCGTTTTGATTGTGTTAGAATCGTACAGTACTGAGCCACGAGAATGGTTTTACCAGTAAGTTCCAAAAAAATAAATAACGTTTTTACGAATATGTATAAGTGACAGGCAATTTGTATTCAAAATAATCGTTCGTTTCAAGGTAAGTAGTTTGTTTTAAAGTTCTTACATAACATTATAAACAACTTAAAATAATGACAAGATAACTGGCTTTTTACGAACGTTACGATAAGAAGGGTATCTTAATAATTTCCGTCCATGCAACGCCGGAATTAATGGCTACCTTCATATTGAAATGTTTTTATTCTATCAATAAATGTAAGTAATATATTTTATAAATAATCTCGTGCCAAAAACACATATCACATCGCCAGTCCATAAGTGCCCTCTGCTGAAGAAAGGCCTCTTCTTACACGGAGAAGGTTTTGAGCATTAATCACTACGCTGGATTTGGATTGATGATTTCAAACTTATCATTACAAATTATAAGTCTAGGTTTCCGCACGATGTTTTCCTTCACCTTATGATATGAATATGAATCTTAGTCCGAGGCATTCGCTCAGAGAATTATTTAAGGAATCTAAAATAATGACAGTTGCCTCTCAATATATTTATGAAAATGTAATTCACGCTCATAAAAACAAAAGCTTATTTAAGAAATATAGTGATATACATAATATCAACACGAGGGGGAAAAACAAATATGTTGTACCTGCCTCCAGGCTTCAGAAAATAAGTAGTTCGTTTAGGTGTCAATGTATTACGCTTTTACAATAAAATTCCTAGCGATATTCAAAATTTGAGCCTCAATAAATTTAAAAGTGTAATAAAGGCTAAACTTTGCTGTAAAGCATTTTATAAAATAAAAGACTACTTAGAGGAAAGTCAGGCTTGGGAATGAGCCGCTGTAATGTCTGCACAGGTCATGTTGACATGTTTGTAACATAAGCTACACTTTTATATACAATTTGACATTACGTTTATTTTTTTTACATACAATGACATGATCACCTATTGTGACATTTTTATTTTTTATTTGACATTTTTTTATTTATTTGTTGACATTTTTATTATTTTATATTATTGTTAGTGTAAGGACCGTGTGAGACTTGCCGTGCTTTTTCATCACCAGTCATGATGAGCGTTCTGACAGTTTGAGTACTTGCGCGACCCACCTAAATGTTCTTTTGATCGGTATTGTTCGTCGGACAACTCAGCAGCACTAGCTATACTGGTTGCAAACTGACACTTGCGTGCCTGTCTTCAGAACGGGTCCACTTAAACTGGTGTGGTTCTTTCCTCAAAAGACCACTACAGAATGAACTTGCACGGTTCTCTCACATTATGTTATTTTACATTGTCTGGACTTGAAAAGAGACTGACCTCTGAGTTTGTTTCGGCATTTCTTCTCAGTGTAGTCAGATAGGAAATGCCGGCTTCATCTAGTTTTTCACAAATTTGACGTGTAAAAGTGCCGTTTTATGGCCTATTTGCAAAAATAAATTCATTGTTCCATTGTTTCATATGCCAGTGGTGTCTAAACAATCATAGAAAGGATATACGAATAAATCGGAAAAAGTCAAACTGGTACTTGCTACGAGCGCGTCCTTATCTCCTTGTATGAGAAGCCTTAATGCCTTAATCTCCGGGCCACCACGACAATATTTCATTGTGCACCTACTTATATGATTATTTTTCTTTGAAATCTGCAAGAAGAGGGTCATAAGGGTAGTTAGGACAAGAGTTCCTACAGCAACTAGAAGTGTACATTTAATATAATCTAGTAAGATGGTGTTGACCACGGAGTAAGTAGTACTTTGTTCTTACGCCGTGGTGTTGACTAACTGCTTGTAGTATTGGAGGAATGCCTGCGATTTATATCTGAGCAACATGTTGCTATGCGTAGTGCAGCTGTCAAACGTACTTGATCGCCACAGTTGGCTTGTGCAACGGTAGCATTAATTACAGTCAACCAATAACTTGGGCAAAGCTGACTTTACACAGCCTTTTTATATGAAGGGGAAGGATTATCACTTGAGTTTTTCCACTTTGAGCGGGGTGAGAGGGAGTGACAGGCTCATACTGACTAAAAATACGTTCCGTCTCTTGCTCTAGGTTGGGCCCGCGCTTACACTCTCAATCGAAGCTTATACTATATATACATATATACACCATTCGGGTTGCAGGGAAGGTCAGGATAGTAGTATTTGAGTTCAGCTAACATCCTTGATTTTTTGATTAGTGGATCTCATTGTGGTAATAGGAACCGTGGTCAAACGCAATCAAAATAAAAATTCACTTTACTTAAATATTAAATATTTTATTTGAAAACAAACTTATCTTTTTATGTATACATATATTAACTTTATGTTTCACATACATATAGTCTCCGTATCATACAATCATAATGTCCACTTCTACTTAGATCAATTTTATTGTAAAATTTTGTATCTATTTCATATTTACAATTTATTCTATACAAAACATTTTATTTTCGAATTTATATTACAATTGCTTATAATTAATTACTTTAGTTATATCTAAACGTTTTTGAAGAACGCATGAACGAACTGCAGCGTGTTGCACGGGTGGTGCTTACGCTACGAGTAGCTTGTCCAGACTAGGGACTTATATCCAACTGTATTGTTATTATTTTCTTAGTAATCATGGTAGAAAATAAAAACAGATATCATTCCCAAATCTGTGAGTCAAGATCGATGTTTTATAAGACATAGTCGTATAGAGTTCATAGTTCAAAAATCAATCTTTGTTTCACAGATTCTGGATTGAGATCAGGCATCGTTTCGGCTGTTTGTCGCGTCTTCAATTGTTTGTAGAAAAAATACTCTAACACCCGGTTTCTGAAAGGCTTGTCAACGCTAAAATTAACTAATCTCCTGTTAAATATCTTGTCAAGTCATCTAATTGGTTGTTGATAATTCAGCCAACCAATCAGATGACTTGACAAGAGATTAAATTGATTTTAACATTGATCGGCCTTTCGGAAACCGGGTGTGAGTCGACAAATAAATTGCAAGTTTTAATTGCAAGTTTTAATTATAGTTACAAAATTATACTACTTTTTAATTCTATTGTAAAGGAGAAATCCATTACATTCTTCAACTTTTCTTGCAAGTTTTAAATGAATTTTTCATATCGGAAATAAGACCCTTGTCTGTGCAAGCTCTCTTAGTTTATACACAAGAAGGTAGTTATAGCACTGTGGTGCCTGCTTTACTGTTCACACATGTGTGTGTGTTTGCTATTAATGTACTAAAACGTTGAGCTCGTACCATTTGATTATATTATCATTCATATTGCTGTACTTTTGGACCATTTTATTGAAACAAAGTTTAAGTGAGATCTCGATACAAGTCGTCATAAACACGGAATTTAAGCTACAGAACTGTAGGGGATCGTTCAATCTTTTTAATAACAAGAAGGACCCAATACTTTTAAATTAATTGATTACACGTGCTCTTGTTAGTATGTATACAGGTGGACTTAATGTCTCTAGGACTTTTTGTCCGCGAGGCGCGTTTGTGATGTGCTTAGAAATAAAATAACGTAATTTCCTCTCAATATACAATTAATTAACTAAATACCTGATTGAAAATGTCTGGATTGCGTTGTGTAACGTGATTTGAATACACTGTCTGCTACAATGATGATATTATAATTGAAAAAGTGTAGATAGGTCATAAGCGCTCAGCAAGTGATACATTAAAATGTGGCTAACTAGCCACACTTTTTCATATTTGTCTCTTTTTCACTCGCGGTTATTGAATCATGCTATCCCACTTGACGTCTATACATGTGTAGATAAGTGTGCCGTTTTCGAAAATCTAATTTTGTTTAGGTAACCTATCTACATCATTTTACTTATAATATCATTGATCTGCCACGTAAGTTTATGGGGAACATAACATGTGAAGGTAGTGAAACGCGCCATAACACACATTGTTGTGACTGAAATGTATCAACATTTTAGTCCACAAAATATAATTTGTCACGTCTGTACTGTAATGCTCTAAAACCCCCTCATTACAAAACAAGATTTATCTTTAGTCTAGGGTTAAACCATTGAGTCAAGTTTCGAATTTTGACTCTTATTCTCACCTACCTTGAATTTGAAATACAATAACTGGCTCAATGGTTTGGACCTAAACTAAAGAAAAACTGTCTTGTTTTGTAATAAGGCGAAAATGTTTGAATTTAATTGTTTTATTTAATAAAGGGACATTAAAATAACATGTTACATACACATAATATCGTATTATATATACTTAAAAAAATTATCTGGTGTCGTACTTACAAAATTATATAACTTTATAATTCCTCTAGTTTGTTAAGAAGTAATCCATTACATTGTTCAACCTTTCATCGATAACTAACAGGTTATAATAATTTTAACATTACGCCAATGGCTTTAGACACTTCTTCATTCCCATCTTTTGTTTCGTTTCAATAATATGAATTCTTCTAGAAAAAATATTGTAAGTTTTTCACAGTTTTTTATGGCATAGCGTGGTGAATGAGAAGACTCATCGTTAGCCAATCGGGGCCACCATGGATTACCGCAACACCAGAAGACTTAAAAGGAGAGGTGGTGTGGGTCGGGGGCAATTATATTTTTGCTCAATATGTTTTTTGTATCGGTATGACTGACTGAGCTACAGACAGAAGGTCGTAAACATTAGCTCTTGGAGTTATACTAATTGTTTTGCTAAAAGTCATTTAATCGTTACAAAAGCAATTTAAGTAAAGAAAAAAATCGTTACTAAGGGATAATTTAAGCAATTATTTAATATCTGTGAATATATACAACAAAACAGTTACTTATATAGTGACCTGATGGGGTGCAGCATTGCCCCGCTTCCTAATCTCACACATTAACATTACAAGTTGCCAATTTTTCGTTCTTTTCGAGTGACTTATAATGACGAGTAGGTTTCTTAATAATTACACTTATATTTTGTAATCATTATAATAAAGGTTGGTTGTCACACACAGCCCCGTTGATCCAGTTAAGTGTTATGAATTTGAGCACACGCTATTTAGGTAAATCTTTGTTTTTATAATAACTATCGCGAGACATACTAAATTAACTAAAAATCGCGGGTTACTCACGTGTATAAATTGAGAAAAGCTCTACTAGTTTCGAACCACAGAGGGGTCCTTCCTCATGAGCAGCGTGCGCTTGTTATGAAAAACTCAAAGAATAGTTTTTTTATTTATATATTTAGATTGTGTTTTGTATTATTTTGGTCATCTTGTCCTTTTAAAATTGTCCACCATGTAGTTGTTTAGCAGTGACTGCGTCGTGCAAAACGATTGTAATCAATATATAAGTGTACATTTTTATGATGGCCCTTCTGTACTTGTAAATAAATACATTATAACAATATAAAACTCAAATGATATCAGTTGTATCATATATATTATATACAATGGTTTTAATTCGAGAACGAAACTACATATATAGGTATGTATTCGGGTCCCCTGTACGTATGAATGTAATAACAACATGTTGACGAAAACTTGCTAAGAAATTATCTGACTTGTCGACCTTCAATCAACCTTCCATTATTTAGTGGTTCAAGACCAGTTTATACAAATTGAAATATTTTGCAGAACTGTATGTCATTAGCTGCCTCATTAAGGGCTGACTGTTTTTTGATTATCTTGCATGTAACAATGTATTTGGTATTCTTAAATATCGTCGTTTATTTAATAGTAGGTACCTATATCGGTGTGTAAGACGAAATTTAACTAATTCACCAGTTTCCTCGCGGTATAAAGTTTATGAAGTTTGTTTATTTCACTCATGGTGTAGTAGTCAGTAGTAGTAGATGTTGTTGTGTTTCCGTATGTGTATGTATGGTGGGTACATGGGACCAGAATACATCGTACTGGCACCACCAGAGAGGTGACCAATATGTCACACACATTATATTATTTGCACGAAACTGGTCCAAGTAACATTACGGGTCGGAATGAATGGATCTAATGATTAATCGTAGGTCTGCTTCATAAAAACTTTAACTTCACTAACGACAATAGATATCATTTAAATACATTATCTTCACAATAAAACAATAAATATATGTACAATGTTCAGTAGCAACAAACGCTATGTAAGAGTTCAATTCATTAAAATTTCTCACATCCATTGGTGTGGCTTCTCAATAAACCGCCTTACATTAATAATCTTATTATTTTAGCATTTTCGTTTCGAGAGATGCAGAACAAGAATCACAGTGACTTGACGCTATGTGTTCCGTTTCTCGTAAAAATGTTTCGGTATTTACTCGAATAGTTTATTTATTTATTTACTTAGCTAGTCGAAAACTAAGTTTTCTCGATAAAAAATTTAAAGAAACTGGTGTTTCTTGTGCGTGTCCATGAATAGTTAGAGTCTGGGTACACTGCACTGCACGTGCGCGGGGAGGCGCGCGCGATCAGCTGGAGCCGAGCTGGGCGCGCAGCAGCCGCGCGTGCAGCGCGCACAGCGCCAGCAGCGCCGCGATCACGCGCGAGCTGTTGGACAGCCCCGCGCTGCCCGTCTGCATGGCCGCCGGCCGCTCCCCTGTAACACCACGCCACTACTTAGCAACCAAAACAAGATATATTTCTATGACTGGAGACTAAACGATACATACCATTGAGCACGTGCACGCGCACTGACGCGACCTCCGCGTTGGAGGGTGAGCAGGAGTAGCGGCCGGAGTCTGCGGGCGCGGCGTCCTGCACCAGCAGGTATGAGGTGGTGGCCGCGCCCTTCTCCGTGACGACCGACACGCCGCCGCGCGACGAGTCGTACGATATCACCTGCTTCACACACAACGCAGCCACATTGATATATCTGCTCGGGCGGCTCACACAGCCACACTGTGTAGCTGACCAAGTACAACAAACTTAACAAGTAACAACAGACTTTAACGTGAGTTAAGTTGTCGCTTATTGAGGCACACAACTGAGCAAAGTGCTTGTCTGCCATGTTTTGCTCTTTAGATAATCCCGGCGAACATCTTGATGCAGATATAATAATCCTTTAACGGAAGTCAAAAACAAAAGCAATGCTCTGTTCGATCCCCATAACTCTAGGTTAAATAAGTATATTGAAAAACGGGATTTCATTTCATGCATTTCATCATTTGGGTCTTTCATTGTTATGCTCATTGTCCTTATGACGTTATAATACACACGCGAAAACTTTTATATGTCTACCTATATACGTATACTTACTTGGTTATATGCATACAGTGAATACTCATATTTTTTCTTAAACTTTAATCGCTTCCATGTTGTGTACGTGCATATAATGTACAAATATTTACCCACACACATGTAGGCAGACCCGATACACGAGGTCTCAAGTCTCCTTAGTATAATATAACATATACAATACTAGTTCTATATCTAGTTACATACTTACTACAAAAAATCCATGAGTATAATTACTTTGCGTCCGCTCACCTCGTCCTCGTGGTACCAGAATATGTAGGCGGGCGGCTCCGGGGAGAACTGGATGAGGCAGGTGAGGTTGATGGTGGAGCCCATGTCCACGTGCAGGTCCGGCCCGCCCAGGATGCGAGCTGATGGCACTGTAACATATGAACGCCATCTTGTCTTAGTTACGTCACACCCTTCGTCAAAATTAACAGATAATAAAAGTCAAGTTTTATTTTAGACGAGCTGCGGGCGGAGGGCCCGTAGCTTCGGCCGTTTGTTGAAAAAAAGTAGTCTGTGGTATTCCAGGATATCACCTGTTGAAAAAAGGTAGTCTGTGGTATTCCAGGATATCACCTGTTGAAAAAAGGTAGTCTGTGGTATTCCAGGATATCACCTGTTGAAAATAGGTAGTCTGTGGTATTCCAGGATATCACCTGTTGAAAAAAAGTAGTCTGTGGTATTCCAGGATATCACCTGTTGAAAAAAGGTAGTCTGTGGTATTCCAGGATATCACCTGTTGAAAAAAAGTAGTCTGTGGTATTCCAGGATATCACCTGTTGAAAAAAAGTAGTCTTTGGTATTCCAGGATATCACCTATCTAAATACCAATTTCAACAAAATCGGTTTAGTTGTTATTGTGTAAAAGAAAAACAAACATACATCGATACATTCTCACAAAGTTTCACGTTAATAATATTAGTAGGACATTAGTAGGATGTATTCAGATGTTACTTAATCAATTGTTTTTTAACAGTGGATTTTGTATGGCCTTTGACCACTGAAAATGTTGGTCACCGCTAAGTCAGAATCGGTTACGACCTGCCTGTATCTGCGTGACATTGTAAAGGCAGTTTAGGATCTAAAAATATATGTTTTAATTACTTTAAATTTCTATTATTCATTAACCATTATTAACTTTAAGTCAACCTTTAATAATGAGTTTTGCATTATTTAAACTATAATTCGCAGTTAACGTGTTAATAAAAAAACATGTAAAGAGCTTCTACCGTTGCAGTTGCTGCCCTGTCCGCTTTCATAGCTACCGTAAAACGAAGTGAATGGGACTTGTGGGATAAATAGGTACTCAAGGGGGGTGAATAGATATTGGGAAATTGTTCTAGTATCTATTCTCCCCTCTTATATTTTAATTTAAACCTGGAATTTTATTGACAACGTTATATTGTACCGTTTTTATTTGAAAAGAGTCCGGCGTAATTGTATGTTGTAAATATAATTATATATATATATATTATAAGTTCACGTATGTATGAGCCGGGAGACCTTGCTTGATGCTTTAATTCAAGAAAGTGATACATTATGCAGACGGGAGCAGGCGACAGGAGGTCGGGCCGAGGTTACGCTGACACATTTTTAGTTCTCTGCCCTCATTACATTCACTCTGTGTTGTGCAGTCACTACATTTCAAGTGCACGCTCCCTTCGCTTAACCCTGAACACAATCATTACTTACATTACATTTAATTATTTAATTTATACAGTAAGGTACAAATGGTGGAATGAGTACGCTCGCGGTGGGAAGACCAGCAGCACGAGTCGTACTGCGCTACCTAATAGTAACTTTTGAAAGAAATACGATACATGTATTTGTTAGTTAGTCTGTCATACAAGGTGGTGGTTGCTATTGGAGACTGGATTATGATCGCTCATAAGCCAGATGAAATATATGCATCAACGTTTCAAATTTCAAAGCAATGCATCTTGGACAGTTTAATTACTAATATTAATATAGTCTAAATGATATGTTCGGTAACAGTATGAAAGTTCTGTCATTTGCATAGAAATAGAGGTAGCTATGAACCACAGCGAATATTGCCCGAGGCCAGTAATTCAGCGGAACAAAACGCTCTGAGACCGCTTTGAAATCAAACGCTAAAAACCCAGCCAATGTATCATCTATCATATTTTAAAGTCTGCCGTCAGCCGTCGGCGTCGGCGTCCCGCGTGTCGAGGAAATAGCTCCTCGTCGTGGGAGTTATTGAATTTCCAATTTTTCGCGAACAATTTTATTTTATTTGTGACGGTGGTAGTTGGCGCGGCGCCGCCCAGAACCGCTCCGTGTAAACAAAATGTCAACTTCAAAAACAAAACTGAATCGATTTCAAGTGCACATTCATTCTATCTGTCTCATTGAATCAGTTTGTTGATCGTGAATGTTTGATATAACATAGTTTTGAAAAATACAATTGTTAGGTATTGTTATCGTCATAATAACAATGCTGTGATATAATATTTGTGATGGAGCGTCGTGACATAAAAGATATTCGTAATTTACTTTTTTTTTCTGCAAAATCATTACGAAGTATTATTTAAGTAACAATACTAGGCACTGCAATGACCTGACTGCCACCATTGTGCCTAGTTCTCTATAAAGCCACCATCTATCATTAAACATTTCATTTGTTGGTTAATACGTTTGGAATACTAAGCAGCTTAATATCACAATGTCTTTTACCCAAAAAACCTGCATTCAATTGTGTACTTTACCTCTTTGGGTGAGGGATACAAATAGCTTGGCTTGTGGGTGGGCGACAAACGCGCTCGTTCTGCAAATTCCTCGTTATTAAATCTCGTGACCGTAAAAACAAGGTGAAGTAGGTTTTCTTCACGCTCCCTGTACCAGCCGCCCCCGTTCCCCGCGCCCCAGCCCACCCCCGCACTCGCCGGTGTCGCAGTTTTCACGTCTCCATCGCATTGTTGCTGTTTACTTAAATTTTGGTGCACTCCATATTCTTTACCAATAATATTGTTTAAAATCACAATGAGGTAAGGTTGTATACTCGTATAAGTACAAATGTAGCTAAAGTTTTCAATTTGTCAATTACGTAGTGAAGCTTGGAATATTGTCTGACAGTATTATTACTCCTAGGGTCTTAAAATATGGCTCTCGAACTAGCGCAAACATGACATTAAGTACAGTCCAAGAGTGCAATTGAAAATAGAGAAATTCAGTGGGATTACTGTAAGTGACATGAAGGCACGGCAGTAAGGGACAGGAATTACGTATTTATTTCCTTCTGGAATTCCAGCTTCATTCCCTATGTCGTCCCTTTATGGGCGGAACGACATTCCGGCCGTTTCGAGAGTAGCACCGAAGTGGCCGAGAGGCTTAGTAAAAAATGAATGGGATAAAGTAGAGGAGTAATTGAAATCGACCGCCGCCGCCACGCCCGGACCTCGTCTCAGTCCTGCACCAACTTTAGGCGCAGCGCTTAATATCAGGATGTTCATCATTTTAATATCATATTTAAAACTACGTTTTCAACGTACCTACTTAGTTTGATAGATAGATATTTGATTGATAGATAGTCCATAGTGTGTACGTTTGTTGGAGAGTATAAAATTAGGTTTAATTATATGAAGATGACTTTTATTTTCGTTCAAATTTCTTTAATGCATGGTAAATGAATTAGAGATCCCTTGGAAACTTTATGTCAATGCCATAATACATAATGAGAAATTTTATTTTGTAACCAAGTACATTGGTCTAGGAAATAGTGGAATCATTAATTGAGGTTAATTATCTTAAATCAATGCAATAAAAAAACATTTTTTTTACTATATAAAAGACATCAACGCGTTACCGCATTCTGGCCATGTATCCTTCAAAAGAAGTTGTGTTTTATTTCGTAGACGCACTCGAAAAATATTGACAAAAAAGTATTTTCAATTTTTACACAAACTTATATTTTTAACAGAAGATTTCTATTGTAACAATACATACTTTGGGAAAAGAGAAGAAAAACAACAGAGTTAGAAGAACGGTTACAAATCTGAATATAAGTGCAGAAGAGACGTGATTCAAATGAGTGGTGTCACGGCTCTGAAGTAATACATGTTCTGAAGTGGCGCCCTCTGCCTGGGTGTGACAGAGACTAATGATGTTTTAGCGCTCGCTGCTCGCTCAGCGATAGTCGAGGTACCTAGCGCTAGCTGACTAGCTCCCGTTGCGTTAAGTACTAAGTATCTGCTCCGCTCTCAACTTGGTTCAGAGTAGAATGACTGATGAGACGGACTTACTTCACTTGCCATTCACAGCATGACACACCTCGTGAGCTTTTGTAATCATTCAATATATAACATTTACGTCATTTTATTATGTGATTCGCTAATGAGCAGGCTGATTACCTGACTTATTAGCGGACACCGCAACACCGATTGCAGTGCGTTGCGAGTTGCAAGTGCGTTATTGATATTATGGGGATAAGGGGTTTTGGGGATTCACGGATGAGATAGAAACGTGGGGAGGGTAACGATTTGGCCTTCGGTAACCTCACTCACGCACCTGAACACAACGCTGTGGTTGTTTCACGCCGGTTTTCTGGTGGTCGAGTTCAGCCCGGTTGAGCCGATCCATTGTTGCCAAAGCATGACTCTCCCAGACTTCGTAATATCATTTATTGATGTGATCTGATAGTGAAACCCGGAACCATTTCCGCAAGCATTATAATTGATAAAATAAAGGACCGGCCGGTGAAGGCTCATGAAGGTTACATAATTTTACGAGTTTCAGTGAAAGTTTGCATAGTAATGTAATCTCTTATTTTAGAAGTTAAGGGACACACATATCACTTTTTAGATTCCCTCTCCCGTAAAATAATAATTAATTTCGAAAAAAATACGATAGAAAATGTGATATTATTTTTGAAAACCCATCATCGAAAAAAATTAGACACTGACTTAATGATAAATGGCGAAAACCAGAACTTAAACTTCATACTTAATTTTTGTTTCATATAAAAACTTAATTAAATAATATCAGTGAACATATCAATTGAATATAATCAATGCCTTCCAGATGTGTGCGTCTGCAACCAAAATCGATTATTAACTTATTAAAACGAAAGTCAGTGCAAGCGTAGTAAGGTTCTTAGTCAGTAGAAGGTTATTTACGAAGTTTTTAAGTTATTTTACGATTTTCCCCCTAAAAAAGCGTGTGGACACTGCGTGACCTACATTTAACGACCAAGAGATCCGCAGTCGCTTAAAAAACTACATCACGATAACATAAATCATGTTTTACACAAAAAATATTTCGCCGACACATATCGGACCAGGCTGCAGTCGTAGGGGTGGATCATTAACATTTTATATGAAAGTCGTTTTTTATCAATGAAACAATGAATTTATTTTTGCAAATAGGCCATAAACCTCCTTTACGGACTTTTACACGTCAAATTATATGTAAAAAACTAGATGAAGCCGGCATTTCCTATCTGACTAATCTGAGAAGAAATGCCGAAACAAACTCAGAGGTCAGTCTCTTTTCAAGTCCAGACAATGTAAAATAACATAATGCGAGAGAACCGTGCAAGTTCATTCTGTAGTGATCTTTTGAGGAAAGAACCACACCAGTTTAAGTGGACCCGTTCTGAAGACAGGCACGCAAGTCTCAGTTTGCAAGCAGTATAGCTAGTGCTGCTGAGTATGTATGATAATACCTACATATGTATATATAAATATTTTTCATACATATGGGAAATTCACTAGGATCTCTTTTGTGTCGTGGGCATGTTTTGCAGACATCCAATTTACATACACATGACACCCAGACCCGAAAGAACGCAAAACCAAATTACTTAAAGCATGTTGAGCTTAAATAAATGAATAAGTACTATAGATATTAATTAAGATAATTTTTAAATAGTTTTAAATTTTATATTTTGTTTACAGTTGGCTGTACGAAGTTGTCTGATGTCTCACGATACTTACATTTCTATATGATTACTACAAAGTTTAACCAATAAGGTTTTTTTTTTGTGAGGGGAAAATCATCAAATGACTTCTCCCGCCCAGGGCCGGGCAGGAGGGAGTGTCAGACTCTTACTGACTAAAAACCCCCCCTGTTCCTTCTCCTGCTCTGTGCCGACGTCGCGGTACCTCATTGCGCTTACCCCGCAACCCCGGCTGAACATCAGCCCTTTAGGGCCCCGTCTGTGGTTAACCAATAAGGTACTGTTGTAACCGTAGCTAGTAACTGTTGCGTGCGACGTAGATTTCGTCTGCAAGTTATTTATATAGAGTCGATTACGTTACGCAGCTTGCTTTAACTACTCGTAATTTTGTACTATGTTTGTTGTACTGCTAAAAATTTAATTTTATTACTCTACTAGTCTGTTTTATGAGTTTACCCGGTGAATACACAGTCGGAGGTGGGAAAATATTTAGGACTTCCACATGCATCCGCCGCTCGCTGTTCTGTTAGTAAAGCACTGAAGTTAGATTACTACTAGGACAACATAACTGCTTGTATGATATATTATAGTTATCTTGTTTTGTGGCGCACTACTCGTTATTATTTCTATCTTGATGTGGCTTGAATATAATTGTGCAAAAATAAAATTACAATTATAATTCACTCCTTTTACGGCAAACGGAGAAAGCGTCTTTATGTGACATATATCCAAATGGACTATATCCATATATTATTTTCTTTTGTCAGGAGAAAATCATCAAATGACTTTTCCCGCCGATGGTGAGGCGAGAGAGAGTGTCAGACTCTTACTGTCTAAAAACGCCCTGTTCCTTCTCCTGCTCTAGGCCAAGGCCGCTGTGCCTCATTACGCCTGCCCCGCAATCCTGGCTAAACTAGCTTTTAGCCGCAACTCCGTTCGCGTGGAATAGTGTCATCTAGCAGATTTTTGGTAAAAAAACTTTCCCATGTCCTTTCTCGAGTTCTAAACTACATATGTCTGTAAAAAAATTCACAGAAATCGGTTCAATAGTTGAGGCGTGAAGAAAAGACAGACAGAGTTACTTTAACATTTATAATATTAGTATAGATGAAGATATTAGTATAGATAAATAATATCTATACTAATATCTAGAGTCTAGAGGTAAATATAATAGTTTAACAGTTGTGTTTGGAATGTGAGCAGGCTCCAGGTATTCGGCTTCGGCGCGACATTCCCCGCGGCCGACAGATCGCGAACACGACGCCTCCACGCCTGTCCCAATAACTCAAAATATGTACTTATTTCGAGATCAGCGTGAATGTGACATACAATTATAATCATATAAAAGAAAACAAAGTAATTTGAAAAAACCTACGATTGGAGTAGCAGTTATCGACAGACTTAAACTTAGGTTTATTAGAGAGCATTCATTAATCACCACGCTTGCTCAATGCGGGTTGGCGATTTCAAACTTATAATAAGAAATTATAAGTTCAGGTTTCCTCACGATGTTTACCTTCACCGTAATACAGTTAACCTCCGGGCCACCACGACATTATTAAGCCAGAGAGCATTGCTGAACATACATATTTGTAAAAATGTGTAGTCGCGGCTAGTTGGGTATGTGGGTTCATCTTATCACCATCTGCAGCTCAAGCTCAAGGTGACTAAATTTTTCCACTTACAAGTCACCAGTTAACGTTACTCCAAAAATATATTTTATACTAAAAATATATTTTTAATGTTGTTTAATTTTGTATAATATATTTAATTTAAACCTAATCCACCTACGAACTGTATGAATTATTTGCCACCACGGTGGGGTCCAGATCCACACAGACTTGCTCTGTGGACGTTCTCTATAATACGGAGCTAGAGAGAGGTACTCGTCGGCGACGGCAAATAAATTGCTTATTATTATTGCAGTGAATCTTTCTGCCACCATATTGGGCGAGAAGTGCTCTAGAAGTACTCAAGCAGGTCTCGGTGTCTGAAGCCATCTACCACGACTATTGTCCTGACGTCTTTGAAACCAACTGCTTATTCCAGCTGCGCACAGACGTTCACTCCCACTTTTCCTATAATAAGAATCTTCAACAACATGGCAGAAAATAGAAGGAATATCAGTCCAGTAATGCTCCGATCAAGAGAAATTGTGATCATTTTAATATTTCCAAGGTGACCAAATTGGTTGACGTGTGTAAATTGGGATTTATGGATTTAGCAGATAGAGCAGTTTCAGTGACTGACGCTGTTTGAAATGTTATCTAATACGAGTCCGCACTTGTGGCTACTTTGTGTTCCGTCAATTAAACTCATTCAAAGAGTACCTTTTCAACAACTTTGTAGACTTTTCAAAGGTAGTAAGTACATTTTCAAAGATATCAGATATCATGTAAAATTTATTAAAATGACGTATCATTATGCCTTCTAATCTCTTTAAAGTCATTTATCGACACAAGTCATGTTTACTACTTACTGGGGCTGTTTCATACAGTTATTTTTTTCACAACGTACTTGCTCACGTTAATTAACTAATAAAAGATCTGCTAGATTCACAACGGGACTGTCAATTGTTGGATTCACGAGAGCAAGACATTTTCAATAAATTTTGGAAGAATTACGAAAATAAACAAGAATAACAAAACTATTTGTAAAGTTAAAGAGACGATATTATACATGTTTTTACATAGAGGTGCATATATGCAATGCAATACCCACTTTTCAACAGTTCTAAGAAACCCATGTAATATCCGGTCAGCCAATCGCCAAATACCGTAAAATTATTATCTTTTTTTTAAATTAAATACAGAGGATTAGAAAAAAAAACACGAAAATTAACAAAGATATTGAATAAGTAAATTTTAATTAGGTTAGTCGGTATAAATAAACTTATAATGCAACAAAAAAGAAAACGGTAGATAGGAGCTGTTAGTTCGTTTTTTTTTAGTCACCATTGCAGCATTGACCTTCGAAATGTCCTTAGGAAGATAGCTATCATAACTAAGTCGTCTAAGAATTTAACTGCCGTACTCAAAGACGTTCAATGATTAGTTTTTTTTGAGGAGGAAAAATCATCGAATTTCTTCTTTCGCCTAGGGAATGGCGAGAGGGAGTTTCAGACCCTGACTTACTGTGGAAAGATGGCAACATCACAGCCGTCAAGTATTATAAGCTGCTCTTGTTAAAAGAAGGTTATTAGTAACATAATATTAAAATATAAAGCCATTAGTCTCCTTTTTAGGGAGCAGACATGTCGTATGATAGTAAAGGATAAGTGGTGCTATGGCTATGTCCAATTGACAAAGACAGAGGAGTTAGAAAAAACTGCCACTATGAGCAAGTTCCTGGTTAGTGAGCCACACACGCATACACACGCAAACGCACACACACACACACACACACACACACACCTGCATCGGATAACATCCGCTGGTAGATCTCGTCGCAATCTGAAGGAACATAACAGTACACGTTAATAATAAGTTCGTTAGTTTAAGTAAACAGTTATGAGGTCGGCTGTTGATTCTGTTGAGTTTTGTACTACCATTTTACTGTTAATCTTATCCCTGTTAATGTATAGTAGCGGTTCAAAAACTTGATGCTATCGGTTGTTGACTACGAGTACTTGACTCATTTTGAATTACCTTCTACTACTTGGCTAAAAAAGACTTGTTTATAATTTATAAACTACCCTTTTTTGGCTGATATCGTCAGAACATTGCAGATAAATCATTATATTCTATATTCTTAGACAAATGTAATATGGTCACAGCGAGCGTGTAGAAAAAACAGAGCTGATCACTCAGAGCGATGCGGTTACGTAGGATTTAAACAGTTAGCAATATGAGGAATAGATGATCGAGATAATCCTGGTACGCAGGCAGCGGGTGTAGTGACGCGCCAGTGCAGTTGGCGAGTGTCCAGCGCCAGTGACTAGTGGAGCGCAAGTGCTCGCACTAGTGGCCACTGGCTAAGTAACCGAGACCTAACACGCTCGTTTCAAACGGATCGCATTAAACACTATTTCATGTATGAGGATGTATATTTGTACATCGTTTAGGATTTAGATTTCCTAGTACTTCTAAGTATAAAGTAAAAATTATACCTTCATCGTAAATGACTGAGAATTTATTGTCTTAATGCATGTATTAAGTGAAAACTGATAACAGTTTACTAAACAAAACAAAGTAGCTGCTTACCTGTTGCGACTGTTGCACATTGGATCTTATTGGAAATTATGTTGCATAGTGAACGGCTCGGTTCGAACCTAAAATGACCGTGCCTTTAACGTTGTATATTTAACCTTGTATTATTTCGTAATGAATGTTAAACTGTGTAGCAAAGTCGTGGACGGCCATACAGCATCCCGCTTTTATCTCCGGATTTACAACAAATTGATGTTTTGGGCGCGTGAGCTACCCGATTAATTCAAAGCACGCCCATTCGCTCCAATAAATATGTTAAAATGTTCCGTGACAATGGCTCGATGCCGATTTCGCTTCGCATTTTCGAGTCGGCAGCGTTTGTTCAAATTGTTCGCGCCTCCCCGCGACCCGCGCCCCGCCCCCTTCGTAGCAATCCATGGCGTGACAGTAGCCAGAGCAAACAACCCTGACACCAGTGGCAAAGTACAACATGAAGTAAGGAAACTCACCGACAACATGCAGCGTGACGAAGAAGGAGCGCACGGGCTGCGTGGACACTTGGCACTCGTAGACGCCGGCGTCGCGCTGCTGCGCCCACTTGATGTGCAGCGTCCAGTCGTCTGTTTGTGGCGAGTGCGTCGCCTGGAACCGCTGGTCCGACGTGTACGTGTAGCCGCCCACCGTCAGGATGTGCAGGTCTCGATGCCGGATCCACGACACCTGCAACATAACGCAGGGCTCGTCAGAAAAAATAAATAAATAAAATATCTTCAGCGAAAATACTGAATGGCGTTTAGATGAAATGAGCCCATGGAAGAAAGAAGCTTATTACTCGATTATTCTGAAAGTTTCCTAAATAAGAAGCCGGAGATCACTCAAGGAATTCAATTTAGAGCGGCTCGTTGTGATTGTTGCGATTTCCCTTAGAAGTGTCGGTGCGCGGCTGCAGATATATTTATACGTATTATAGACATTCCTGAAAGCTACAAAAGTGTTTCGGCAATGTGGCGGCATTTATCACCCTCAAACGTTGCGAAACCGAGCCCGATCACTCAGCAAAGGCGTTATTGAATGTGAACTCTCAAAGCGGCGTCTCGCGGAGCCCCGGGCCCCGCCAAGCTCTACAGGGGCCAGGGGCCCGTTTGAAGTATATTTTGGCATTAATATTCGTCGGCGGTTGTTTTAGGCGCGGCGGCCATTGGCATGCAAATCAGCCGTCTCTATGAAAATTGCGAACGGCTCTTTATTACTCATTCCTTTTATTTACTGTTGGCATGTAGAGCTCCCGGTTTCAGCTCTTTAATTATCTCGGGTGCGTTAAAACTCCACGTTTTTTTACTTAATTTACCCGTTCAAAGTCCTAGTACATTTAGACCAGCTTGTCTGATTATGCGATTTTTTTCTAATTTGCGTATCTCAGTGAGTTAGGTTATTTGAAGGTTAAGAGTCTCTGTTATAGTAGGTGCGGTGAGTACTAAGGTCACGAACCCACTCGTCTCTCTACTTAATAAATTATCTAATAAAGACTAACTTGTTATACCATCCCACATGATAACGAGTGGACAGGTGTACAATGTACACTTCTATGACCGAAATAATTAAATGGCTGGACAACTAATCGATCAATGATCGCAACTGTTATGGGTATATTGTTTTTAATTGCATTTTATTTCGACGCACCATTAAAGGCTATCGTCTGTGCAGGCGGTCATTATTTGCAATTATTTATCACCTAGATTAAAAGAACTACTAGACAATGCGTCAGAAGACACCTATTCCTCAACTGCCCGACAGAGTGTGTGTCACAGAATATGGGAAGGGATGGTAGTAGCGTGCTACTGGAATGTAAATGACACTAAAAGGGTTAATAGTGTGTTAGCGTGGCTTAATCAGCTTAGCTGGGTGTACGAGGAGGTGCGGTGGGTTCCGCTGTTGGGTGCTAGAACCTGACATAATATGGCCGGTGACAAATGTCGCTAACAATTATATAATAACGAGAACTACTCATATTACAGTGACAAGAGAAATATTAAATTACATTAGTATTATGTTTATCGGCTTACTCAAATGACTTTGAGCAGCTTTGTACTACACAGGACGTGGCAGGCGTCGTATAGCTAACTGAATATAATCATAAGCTCCAGTGTTCCTTGAAACTAGTCGAGATCCTCGTCAAACTTTAATATGAGTAAGCAATTTAATTTAATATATCTCAAAAAAGTTAAATACAAGAGAAATATTGTTTCAATTTCTGTATATTTCATTGTTTCTTTCAAAGCATACATAGTAGTTGTAGTAAAAACCATCTGAGAAACCCCATAAATGATTGTACTACTGAGTGGGTGGGGCACAATTATTGGGTTTCAAGGTTTCAATGTCTAGGACATAAACGAAACGAAATGTTTGAGATCGTCACTGAACATCACTCTTCAATGTTTAATTGTTTGTCAAGCCCCCACAATCTATTCTCGCAAATCACTTAGTCAGCACACTGACTGACTAAATGTTCCTCATAGCGAGTATGGTGTCACTTGTGGCATTATATTGACTTCTTACAGCAGTCACTGAGCAGAACAGGGAGGTGCGTCGAGCTTGTCAGTTGAATGCTAACATGTGAAGGCGAGTGGCGGCGTGTTTGCTTTGCCTTCGTTTGTAATTCAAGGCGCGGCGGCGGCCCGCGGGCGTCGCGACTTGATAAACCACAGTGCACACTGCTCTATATCTTCTCAACGTTTGTTGTTTCACGTCACTGTGTATCACACTACAGAATACTTTACATACAAAGGTTTAAGAGATAACTTTATGATAAAATTTTACAAAATAAAAAAACCGCCTTCAAAAAAAGTCAAGCAATAAAAGTTCCTACACTAAAAAGTAAAAAATAACAATTTGAATTAACTGTAAAAAAACTTAATTTATAGGTAAACTTATTTGACATTAATATTTTGCAAATATTCAAAATTTATTACTTATTTTTGGAGTCGGTGCCAGCATTTTGATGTTGAAACTTAATGTTAGTTAGGTTTTTAATATCCGGTGCCATTTTTCGTACATAATGCTTAAACATTTTCAATGTACTTAAAATGTTTTTGTAAGTACATATTTTTTATTTAAAAAAATGTGCAAATCGGACATTTTTTGTAGAGAAGTCTAATCTGTATTTATGTCTTAATTAATATACCTATATTTGAGTATGCAAATAGGTATTAAGTAGTTTTATAATTAAGTAAGAGGTAGTTTTTCAAGGGATTGTTGCCCATTTGTATTTCCTTGCATGGGCTGGCACCGACTCCAAAAATAAGTAATAAATTTTGAATATTTGCAAAATATTAATGTCAAATAAGTTTACCTATAAATTAAGTTTTTTTACAGTTAATTCAAATTGTTATTTTTTACTTTTTAGTGTAGGAACTTTTATTGCTTGACTTTTTTTGAAGGCGGTTTTTTTATTTTGTAAAATTTTTTTTTATTTGTAGCCGTTTAGTGTTTTTTTTTTTATTATAATGTGTTATGGCAAAGAAGTCAATATCGTTCCTACATTTCTTTTGAAAAAGTTACCAATGTCATACTTATACGTAGAAATACATATCATAGTACATTGTTACTGTGTAATCGTTTTGATCTCGAGGAGAGATGATATGATGCATGAGATACTTATGACTTATAGTTAAAATAAAATAATAATCTTATCATAAATTCATATTAGTTCTCGCCAAATAACAAAAAACTAGATATTTTCATCAACAGACAGATAAAGTTCAAAGATACCAAATGCAATCTAATTTAGTATCTATGATTAAATACATTCGTACATAGAAAAAAGACCGATGCAATTATTGTTTTGTATCAATTGTAACCCATTAAATGAAGAATACTATTTTGTTATTACTAAGAACATTCATATATAGACAAGTTGGTAAAAATATAAAAGACCATCGCTATTGTAAATATACATTTATGACTCATTCAATGTATGAACCTTTTTTAAGTAAGTATTATCTACATATGTGCACACAAAAGAAACACAATTATTGTTTTGTACGACGCAATTATTGTTTTGTAACCCATTTAAAACGACTGTTTTGTTAAAAATGCCAATTAATTCTCTTAGCCTATTACCAGGAAAACGATAAGAACACAATGACGCATTTCACCACTAATGTGTAAACGCAGTCCACGTGGACTAATGCAAAATAGCCAATACTAGGCCAAACTCCGCCCCCAAAGGTGTGCGGTCCCGCTCTAGAACCTTTCGGCCCCATCGGCCATCTGTTCTACGAGCAATGTGCCGTGCCCACTGTCACTTAAGTTTGGCATTTCTTCGGGCTATGTCGGTGACGCTGGTTCTTCTGCGGATTTCTTCATTTCTGATTCGAACATGCACGGAAACTATGAGCATAGCCCTTTCCATTGCTCTTGACAGCTCTAATAAGCTTACACAATACTAGGCCCCATGCCAACCTTCCAGCTTCATCATCACATCAGTTCAATAGTACCTTACAGCCAAAGTGCATCTTATAACAATTCTAACAAGCCCAAACACGGCTAGGATATATTAATTAGGTACGCAGTTCCAGTGCCTACCTTCCAGCTCCATAATCATCATTAAATCAGTTCGATGATAACATTTCCAACATAATTATTTAAGATCATTGGTTTACAGTGCATTTTCATAGTTGCTGAACTACCTTGATTGTGATATCTATGCGAGTGTCAAGTTTCATCATCAATTTCTGATCTTCTTCACCAGTTCCACCTCATCAAACATTACTTTTTGACTGTAAATGCTTGAGTGCTCTATGAAAATATTAAAATTACTATATAGTTGCCTATAATATTTGAGGAGTTCCCTCGATTTCTCATGGATCCCATCATCAAAACTTGATTTTGAAAAGAATGGGACCAATCTGGAAGCATATCCTTTCAATCATAAAAAAAATTTTGCAAATCCGTCCATAAACGACGGAGTTCTGAGGTAACAAACATAAAAAAAAAAATAAAAAAAAAAAAAAAAAAAAATACAATCGAATTGAGAACCTCCTCCTTTTTTTGAAGTCGGTTAAAAATGGTTTTTAGCTCGAGGAAGTCATTGTGCTTTGGCATATCCTTGCAGAAGAGCGTAAAATTAGCGTAAAGCAGCAAGGAAGCACAAAATCGATATATACAGGCAAAATGTTTTATTAACATTTTTTTCCAACCGTGAACAACAAGTTCTGAAACATACAAAGATTAAATCCGTACTAAAATCAAACCGTGACACGTTGCATAGTATCCTGTCACCTAACTCCTAGGCTGTTCGCGTCAACATACGTCAAAAATTGTAATCGTCGCGATTATATGCGCAATAATAAATTGCAGGACAACAAAATAAAATGTGCCCGTCGATTGTTTTTATGTATAATACTAGATTACATATTATTTACGTAGATGATGATAGGACGTCTTTTCTATGCTTTGTTTGCAAAAAATGTGACTTGACTGAAATACCTGAAGCACATCGAGTGAACGTGTCACGTAACGTGTATAAGTACAACGTGACGAGTTTAGCAGAGTGAGTACTCCTTGGTAGTCTCAAACTATCCCTACTTAAATGTTGGTGGGTATCATCTTAAAGTTAACGCTTTGGCCGCGACCCGTATAGTTTGCCCGCGATATGTTGATAGCCTTGTAAATTGAGTGGCACATGACAAACTAAATTACCACCTCGGCAGAGTGAGGTAACCAGCCGG